AGTAGGGCGGCGAGCCAAAGACTTTGGGAACTTATGGTATAGACGACAGTCCGCCACGCCACTGGCCCAATGTTTTCGAGGGATATGAACCTATTTCGACTTAAAGGTTTAGTCACGATATTTCCTCCATCAAAAAGTCATGGTATTTATAATTTATAATTTTATAAAATTTATAAATTTTATATTACATTTGAGGTGCGATCCCGGGTTAGCAGCTTGAGAGCAGTAGGTGAAACGATTAGGCTACCATGGCTTTGTATTTCACGGTTGATATATTCAATTGTAACATGTATTATTTATTGTGCTAATGCGTAAACTCGCAGAAATTGTACTGAGTCGTTTTCTTTAGGTAAGTAAGAGCGTTGTGTGTGTGTGTGTGTGTGTGTGTGTGTGTGTGTATGTGTGTGTGTGTGTGTGTGTGCGTGCGTGCGTGCGTGCGTGCGTATGTGCGCGTGCGTGTGCGTGTGCGAGTGCGTGCGTGGGTGCATGCGTGTGTGAGTGCGTGCGCGCGTGCGCGTGCGTGCGTGTGGCTTGTAACTGCTACATGGACATATCGTATCTGCAATCTGCAGTTAATGCGTGCACACGTGATCAAGCACGTAGTTGTAACTTCCATTGCATGCTTAGGCTTAGATGTCCACCATTACTATTATACAGGAATCAAATGAACTTTTAAATTTTATATATCAAAATAATCCTTACTACCATTGATCTTGGTAGGTCAACGCTTTCTACATTAGAAGAAATTTTAAGATGACGTAATACGTAACATGTATCTAATTTAGCGACAAAATATAAGTTTTTCTAATTATACACAATACTCTAATTGAACTTGGAGAACAAAAACGTAGCTCTATGATGTTATGGTTCTATTTTTATTATCTTTAATAGTTGGAGCTAAAGTATTGTGTAAAGGCCGTCATGTTTATTTAAATTTTAATCGTTCACCCAGCTTTGCGTGGTCTGTTGAAAAAAGTACTAACTTTAGTAAGTAATAAATTAGAGGAAGAGATATTTAAGAAAGGAATAAATGCACTTCCTGAGAAAGTTAATAAAGGAAGTACTGGTAGATATTGGGTGTGCCTGTAAAAGTATATTTTAGTAGAATATTAGACACGTAGTTAAAATAAAACAAAGCACGCTTTTTGAAATGTGCTAATTACAAGCAAGCGATTTATGAGTTCTATAATCAAAATTTCAGAATACCTATATATTGAAGTAAGTTATTCGAAACATATATTCCAAACGATAAGTCGTATATAATACATTTTATGGAAGTCCTAATTTATTGTTACTT